TCCCAAGCCAGTTCTTAACCAACGCGCCACTTGGCCGGCCCTGTAATTTTTATTTTTTTAAAGAAATTTTATTTGGGAACAGTGTGTTTTTCCAGGACCCATCAGCTCCAAGTCAAGTAGTCTTCAATTTAGTTGTGGAGGGCGCAGCTCCTTGGCCCATGTGGGAATCGAACTGGCAATCTTGGTGTTATGAGCCTGCGTTCTAACCACCTGAGCTAACCAGCTGCCCCTCTAATTTTTTTAACTTAAACACAACATAGTAAATCAAATTGAATCTTTGGTTCAGGATCTTATGTCCCAGGATATCATTTCTTAATGTCAGTAATACGTTAAGATTATGGAAGCTGCGTTAATTGAAATTTTTGTTTTTTTCATCCTATTCATGAAAAATCACTTATTATTTTTTTTTTGCCATTCTTGAATTATGTTTCAAAAATGGAGCAGAAAAAAATAAATTCATTTTATTCTTTAGTCAACGTCATTTATTGCCTTCCTTTGTGCCAGTCACCGTTCTAGGTTCGAAATTCTTGCATCCATGATCTTGCAGTCTACCATGAAAGACAGCTCCATCTCTGAAATTATCTTAATTGGCTTCATGATTGAGCTAATGCATAGTTTTTAAAACTGGGGTTTAGGAACGTGGGGATATAACTCAGGGCTGGGTATAGTCAGTAGCCACAAACTGGGTTTTCTGAACTCACAGGTGGGTGCATGACTGCTTAGCTTTTCGAAGCGCTTCCCTTGCTGCTCCATCCACCCACCTCTAATAGAAATTGTGGCGCTATCGAGAGGGAGGGGAGTTACTGGGGAGGGATTTTGTCTGTGAGGCTGCTGAATTAAACAAAGCATTGTAAACATACATTTTATGTGCTGTCGGTTAACTATGTTTGACTGAATGAATATTCTATCTGTGTGCGTTATACCAGTACTGCATATATGACGGGTTAACCACCGTCATTATGATAAATGAAACATTTTTCTTTTTGGTTTATGTCATGTTCTGTACTGATTAAAATAGAATTTGTTGTTTAATCACATTTTTAAATACAAATACTGATTCTTTCATGTCGGTAACATTGGACTCTGAAATATTCTTTCTTTTTAAGCTGAGCCATCCTGCCACCTGTTGGCAGCTCAGCGGCTGCTCAGCTTGGTCCGGGAATCGAACTGCTGTTGCTCAGAGCTCAAACTCTTGAGCGAGCTCTTAACCAACTGAGCCACTCGGCCAGCTCTGGACTCTGAAATATTCTTAAAAGTGAATTGTCTTCAGGCTCTTTTTCTTCTTGAAGATCTTAAAATGCTTGTACTGGAGGAATTAGGTTAGCAAACATCTTGAAAAGTAATTTCAAAAATAGCCAGAGAGAAGCGTGGATGCCTGGAGAATATTGCTGAAGTAGAATATCGAGCTTTAAAGAGAATAATAAGCTGTCCGGTCTCCTGACTCAGCATATGAATAAATGGGAGCAAATTTCTATGTAATAAAACAATTATGTCTGGAAGGGAATCTCAGGCTTCCCAGCTTTCCGGTCTCGCTGGTGTTTGAAATTGCCTAAGAATGATGCCTCTCATGTCAGCCTTAGAGATTAGACTTACTGTGTAAATGCTGTAGACAGCAGATTCTGAAATATGCTTGAACCTTTCCTGAGAGCTGATTTAGGAACTGTAAGGAAGAAACTGGGGTGCTGAGGGAGAGGAGATGGGACTGGGGGCAACTTTCAGGGTTTCTAAAACTGTTGTGACCATTTTGGTTCCCACAGCAGCGTGTAGGAGTTCCCGTTGCTCCACATTCTCTCCAACACTTGATATTTTCAGACTTCATATGTAACCAGTCTGGCGGTATCTTGTAGCTCTTAGTTTGCATATTTTTCAGTAACCACTGTTAAGGTTAAACATCTTTTCCAGTTTCTTGTTAACTATTTGGATTTCCCTTTGTGTACTATTTGTCAATGATTTGTGAAACTTTATATATTCTAGATACCTTTTCTGTTTATGAATTTCTTATTTTGTGGTTACTTGCCTTGGGGGTCTTATATAAGAAATCCTCCCCTACCTCAAGGCCAGAAAATCATCTAAATTATCAGGGGTTTTAAGTTTTATTGGGTAACAGCCATGGTCATTGGTTACACATTGCTTTCATGCTACAATGGCATAGTTGGCTCTTTTAGGGAGGGCGCAGCTCACTGTGGCCCATGCGAGGATCGAACCAGCAACCTTGGTGTTATCAGCACCGCACTTTAACCAACTGAGCTAACTGGTCACCCCTAAATTTTCTTTTAAAGCTTTATAGTTTCGACTTTCACATTGGTTTTTATCTACCTGGAATTAATTTTGGTGTATGATTGAGGAAAGGAGTCTCTTTGGGACTCTGTTGTTCCATTGGTGTATTTGTCTATCCCCGGGCAGTGCCTCACTGTGTTAACTACCATGCACCTCACTTCAGGCAGAGAAAAGGCTCCCCCTCTTGTTATTGTTCATCAGGAGTTTCTTAGCCCTTTCTTTGTATTTCCACATCAATTTCAGGATCGACTTACGTTTTCAGGTTATGATTTTGATAGGGATTACCTTTAAATTCTAGCTGAATTTTGGAGAGGACTGACATCCTTATAAGATGGAGGCTTTCAATTCATGAACATGCTTATTCCCTGACCAGAGGAGAGATGAGAAAATGACATTTGGTCCTCATCATATTGTGGCTCTTTCCAAGTCGCAAGAAAGGGCACACTGTGCTTTCGCAGACCAGCTCACAGTAGTTCTGCCAGATTTACCAAGTTGAGGTGGGGTTTTTAAAATTTGTTTATTAATTGTGATAAAAAACATACAACAGAGTTTACCCTCTTTACCCTTTTTTAGTGTGGTAGTGTTGTATATAATATGTATATTGTTGTGCTACAGAGCTCCAGAATGTTTTCATCTTGTAAAACTGAAACTCTATACCCATTGATAATTGGCAGTCCTGAGGGTGCCTTTGTCAAGGCTTTTCAATTCTAGTTGGGGGAGTGGGTATCCTGGGGTCCACATCACGTTTGAAAGTGCGTTCACTAACATTTATGTTTAGAAGCAGGTACTTGGGGAGAGAGGAGCCTGTCGTTTTTAAGTACATAGTACACAAAGTAAAGCGTGAACCGGGAGCCTTAACCAGCTGTTTTGACTACGCTTCTGAATGAGTGAGGAGCAGGGTCCTTTCAGCCTTTGGTCACAAGAGGGCATGGGTGGAGATGCACTACACTGGGAAGCTCTCACGCACAACCATGGGTTTCTTTTTGCTTCTTCTGTTAGCGTTTTGTTGAGCAGAGAAAGACATTGTCAAGAATAAGAATAAAACCAAGTTGCTAGGCCAATATTCTAACTCTTGGAAGTCTCTCCCAAATTAAGTGTTTAAACAACCACCTGTTAGGTATAAGGTACATCCTAGATGCAGTGAAGATGAAGTAGCAAATGTGAGAGCTCCTGCCCTCGGAGACCCACCTTGTGGTGTAAACAAGACAATCCAGCTAATGCAAGTGCAGTGCTTTGTACAAAATGATGAGAAGTCATAGAACTGGAGAGTGAAAACAAGTGCAGGGGGTCAGCAAGTCAGCCCTCCTGGCTTCAGAGACAAGTCGTGCCCCTTGTGGGAAATCTCTCTTCATTCAGAATCTTTCAGCAGAAATTCCACGTCCTCCTTTGGTGCACCTTCATTCTCTGGAAACACACTGCTTTTTGTACACGTAACTGCCCACTGTGGTTTGGCAATTCAACTCTAATGGTTGGAGCAGTGGTGTTTTCAAATACAATTCTAATGGAAATTAATGAAATACACTACTTCCAGTGTCGTTCTTACTTTAAACACTTAGGAGCAGATATCTTGAAATATTTTTTGCATGATTTTTAACAAGGGGACAGTAAAACAAATGCTGTGTAGTCCTTTGCGTTCTCATAATAGCACATTGGTGGTGTGTGCACGTGCGTGTGTTTCAAAATTTTCCTGGAAGAACTCACAACGCTCTGCTAAACAACATGCTTCTTAATGGGCTTAGTACTTCATTTCCTAAATGAAAAAGTCCCATTCGATAGTCACTGTGGGGCTTTCAGGTAGAACTGAGAACAAAGTGCTGACATGAGACAGCCTTCATAGTATTCCTTGCCAAGCTGCCCCTTCGCGGAACGGTTAGCCATTGACAATTTGCTGCAGCCAAGACCTGAGGTTCCCCAGGAATATTATTGGAGTGAGTCAAACCTCGGACACATCAGCTGCATGAGGGGTGGCAGGGCGATGGGAGAAAATCCGGGGTTTCTGTTCTGCTGTTAGCTGTCTGTTCCATTACTCTTCTAACATTCTCTTCTCTATCATTCGTGTGATTCCCAGGGATATCTGTGTTTGCCTTACATGGCGTTGCAGCAGCACCATCTTCTCTCTGACATCACCGTTCGGGGATTTGTTGCTGGAGCTACTAACATCCTTTTTCGACAACAGAAACACCTCAGTGATGCCATTGTGGAAGTAGGTTTATGTATGAGTGTGTGTCCCTGACACTGCTGATCCCTGTTTTCTTTTCTTTAATGGAATTGCGAGGACATAGTAATTACACTAATGGTGGTAATTGCTTCCTGTGCTGGGCGTTCTACGCACCTTACGTATACTAACTAACCTAGTTCTCGTAGCCTGTGCACTAGGTGTTGTTACTGTCCCTCTTTTATAGGTGCGTTGCTTAAGGAACTGAGAGATCAAACAGCTAATATAGTGGGTGAGCCAGGACTCCCACTTGGACAGTCTGGTCCAACTACAATCTTAGAATTCAAATGTCTTTATTGTTTAAATGATTTCAATACTTCTAGCCTGTTTATTATGCTTCTGATGTCAAAAGGAAGGAACTAGAGGTAAAATCTGACGTCTTATCAATATATAAGAAATTTAAATTGTTCAACTTTACAGTTGAAGTAATTTTAAAAAGAAAGGACATTTAATCCACCCTAAGGCTTTTGTACTTTATAACGTACAGTACCAAAACATACTTCCTGGGAAATGTTCATAATACATAAATAAAAAATCTGAGGTTCAAAGCTGTATATTTTATGATCCTAATTTTGAGGAAGAAAAATAGATACATGCCTTCCAAGGCAGAAGGATACAGACGGGAGGAGCACAGAGCTGCTTCACCATTGTGGTTATACTCCAGTCCTGAAGTTGATGGGTTCATGGACATTTGTTTTATTATAATGCTTCAAAACTAATCTGAAAGTTACATATATTACTTTGTATATCAAATATTACATAATAAAAATATTCCAAAGTATCTGTGCACTCAAAAAATTTGTAGGAATTATTAATTGCATTCATTTCCAGTTGTGTGACAAAGGTGATACTATACACTTCTATATTTGCAATCAACATGAATTACTTCTATAATTCAGAATTAAATATTTATGCATATATTTTCTAAAAATAGAAAATGAGCAGTTTTAAAAAAATATAGACAGATAAAAACTTCAGTGTAAGAACCCGTCTCTTTCTTAGACTCACCGTTTGAGATTAGTTATACGTATTTTTCATTTCCAGCTGCACCTTCCCAGTAGTTACTCTTTAAGGTGTGGCCTGGATATCTGCGTGAGCGCCCAGACTCTGACCTGTACCTGGGTGCCCTCTAGGTAGAAGAAGCTCTGATCCAGGTCCATGACCCAGAACTCAGGAAGCTGCTCCACCCCACCACTGCAGACCTCAGGTTCACAGACTACCTGGTGAGGCACGTGACTGAGAACCGGGACGATGTCTTCCTGGATGGAACGGGCTGGGAGGGAGGTGACGAATGGATCCGAGCCCAGTTTGCAGTCTACATCCACGCGCTGCTGGCCGCCACACTGCAGTTAGGTAAGGAGCATACCACGCTTTTTCGTTTGGTAACAACGGTGATGTTTTGAATTACATGAGAAACACGTTTTCATCACAGGGAGAACGATCTCTTACTCCCTCATGCAGAGGTAAGTACTCTTGCATTTTGAGTACTTTATGTCCTTCCAGACCTTTTTCTGTGCATATTTTTGGACTTTGGTTTTGTGGTATTTGGGGTCGTCCTTTTACAAAAATGGCTCCCTTTAGACATGGTCACGAAACCTAGTTTTTCTTTATCATAGAAACATAAACATCTACCAAAACAGCAAATGCAGATCTTTGTCACTTGTACATGGCTGCTTAGTATTCCACCATATGGAAGGGTATCTCAGTATCGGGGGCTATTTATAAACACTGCTTACATGTTTTTAAGACATGAAGGGAGAAAAGAAATATAAAAACTAGAAATTACTGGAAACCACATCCTGAGTGACTGAACCTTCAAGTTATTCCCCATTCTAAGACATGTCATTCCTGTTAAACGGTTACAATGGAGCAGGTAAACACAGAATCAGTCCTGTATTAAAACCATCGCGCTTCCCACAGAAGAAAATACATAACAAGAGAAAGGAAAGCGCTGCGCTGAGCTTTTGCGCCACCGACACCTATCACCCTGGACACTGAGCAGGTAGTCAGTAAAGTTGGTAAAAGAGTGTTGAGCTTTTGTTCTTGCTGTTTTTGAACTATCTCTACCATTGTTTTTTGTTGTTGTTTTTGCTGAAATGCACATAACCTAAAATTTACCATCTTACCCATTTATAAGTGTATAGTTGAATATATTCACATTGTTGTGTCAGTGGGTTCTTTAAATCATCCCCACCACGGCCACCTCCCAAGGCAGTTCTTCACGTAGTATGTCTGGAGTTTAAACCCAGGCTTCAGGTGTGCTCTCCTTTGTAAAGGAAAGCTACAGAGAAGTTCTTATTTATTAATAGGATATTTTTTAAATGTCTACCTCTTCTACAAATGGATCAGCGGAGACACCAAAATTAATCCTCTAATCCATAATAATGTGATAATCTAGTAAGAAAACCCGTCTCCACTGTTCTGTAGCTTCATGAGTAATTAATTTACTTTTTTTTTGTTTTGTTTTATAGAGCATTTATTGGCATTTGCTGTGCATGGTAGTATGGTTTTGTGATTTGCAGGCACTTTACATCTAGAAGCGATGGTTGGCCTTGATCAGTACGTGCTGATGCTGCGATTGGATGGTGCCTGTTGGCCAACGTTAAGACCCGCTGCCATTAGAACTGCAGAACATTCCTGACTACTTGCACATAATGGCTATCCAGGGGGTGGCTTCCTCTGACTCCCAGGTTGCAGGAACTTCTTAATTGTAGGGATGTTGCTGATTCTTGTTTTAAATGCCTTTAGCAGAGGGAAGTCAGAAAGAACAGAAGCATCGATTTTTTCGATCATTAAAATAGCTTCTAACAGTTGTATGTCTGCCCAGCTGAATTTGTTTCCAACGAGAAAATCACCTCCATGCTGTTTCAAAATCTTTTCAAAGACGGGGAAGTAACGGGTTTTTGCTTTCGTCACGGCTAAAGCAAAGCCCTCCTCTTTTTCTCGTGGAGGTTTGAACACAGCTTGGATGATGATCATCATGAGGTCCTGAGTGCCATCAGTGTACATGTGGATCCTGGTGGTCTCGTTCAGGTCCCTCCCATACAAGTTGTACTTGGCAGCAAGGTAGCTGAGGATGGCTTTAGTCTGTCAGCCTCATTCCATCCATTTCAACCAGGGGCATCTGGTTAAAAAGCAGGTGTCCATCTGTCATTAACTTCTCATATTGCTCTCTTGTTTCAATAAATTCTTCTTCAAACTCCACTCCAGCTGCAGCCAGCAACCTGCGGATCGACTCCATCCTGCCCTACCACGAAAGTAGCAAAGCTTGGGTTTGGCTGTCATGACTTCTGGCTCAGGGTTTTCTTATCTCTTCCTTGCTCTTGTCTCCTGTGATGTGTGGGGGTAATTTACTTTTTAAAAAAATGTTTGCCAAGGTAGCTATAAGCACGGAATAAAAGTAGCTAACTTTTCGTGTGTGTGTTTTACTCTGTGCAGGAACCTGTTTTGAGAGCCTTACATCTTCTAACCCATGTCATCCTCACAGCAATCCTGGAGGTAGATACCATGTCATCCTCGTTTTACAGGAGAGAAGATGAGGCATAGAAAGGATAAATAGCTTGCTCATCCATCTGGTGAGAGGCTGGGCTGTTATTTAAACCCGAGTAGCCTGGCTCAGGTCCATGTTATTTTAAGTATTTGACAGTGAAATGCATGGAAACTGAGTTTCACCAGATAATGAGGCAGAATCGAAAGAAGAGAAAATAGTGGCTAAAAGAACCAATTCATGTATTCATTTTAATCTTTTTCTGTGGAAAAAATGACATTTGTGAAAAGATAGATACCCCATTGCCTTCTCTATATGAACATCAGCACATTTACTCACTGTCTAGCCTGTCCTTTTTGTTTAATAAACAATACCATGCCTCCTAGCCTTGCTAAGGAGAACATAGACATATTTTAGAGTTGTAAGGAACCTTAGACATTATCTGGCTCGACCCTCTTTTTTTCTGGTTAAGAAAGTGAAGTTCTGGGTGATTAAGTGACTTCTCACTGGCCACATAGCTTCTTAACAGGATGCCTGGAACTAAACCCAAGTTTCCTGACATCTGGTAGACTATCTCCCTCCAAAAGCAGGGGGGCAGAGAGGGTAAAACTGTTGCTTTACCCTTTTTGGTTGTTAATCTTCACATCCCTGCTGGTTATAGTCCAGCTCATCCTTTAAATATTTACTTGACAGATAATGAAAAGATATTGTCAGACTACGGGACAACCTTCGTGGCCGCATGGAAGAATACTCACAACTACAGAGTCTGGAACAGCAACAAGCATCCGGCACTGGCAGAGATAAATCCGAAGTAAGCACGTCGCTGAAGACCGATAGATAGTACATAATGGTGGATTTACCAATGTGTCTCATAAGTCATATCTGAGCTTTGATGGTACTGTGAATATCTTTAAGAATCTCCTTACATAGATTGAAAAAGGCTCCCAAATACAGAGAAGTAGCTGGAAAATGCTCACCTAGTCACCTTCTGACACGAAAAGCGCAAAGCATTTTGGGAAGCACGGACGTTTCTCCCAGCTCTCCGTGTAACTGGGGGAGGAAGTGCTGGCCCGTGGTGATGCCCAGTACATGACAGCTCTCCTCCCCCTTCCCGAGTTCTGTACCTTAGCAGAATGGTCAGACATGATGGAAGCCTCAAAGGAAATTCCACTGGGTAAAACTGAGAAGTTATTTTAAAACATGAAGTATAAAAAACTTAAGTTGATATTTGAACTCCTAAACTTGTGGTCAAACATAGTTACCACATCAGATTCTAAAAGTCAGCAAAATTCAATGCCTGTCACAATATTGAATGCTGACTGGAGAACGACTTTATTCCCACATAGACATAAAAGACATTTAAACATGCTGTGGAGTGGGGCCCTCATGAAATAATACCATCTTTGTGTGAATGGAAACAGAGTAGAATCTAAGGAGACCGAGTGATACAATGTATACATCCTGGGAACTTATTTTTTCTAAAACATTAAAATAATGGGTTTTTTATGATTACAAGCACACAATGTTTTCATTTGTATTTTAAACTTTTACTTCTTAGTGAGAATCGGGCAAAAATCAACTTTGTACTGACTGCCATATTATTTGGAAGCTAAGGTTAACTTAGCTAGACTGAGGGTGTGATTTCGGTAGTGCTAGAAAGGAGACTCCCCCCCAAAAAAAATTCCAGATGTTTATGTCATAGTAACTTGGTGCAGGGATGAGGTGGTGTGGCAGGGCTTTGGAGAGCATGTCTGTTACACTTTATATCATCTATCAAGAAAAATGACTAGGTTCAGTACCGATTTGGGTGAATTTAATCATCATACTGGCCTATAGAAGAAATCTATATTGCCATTTGAATGCGGTAAAAACAGAATTAAAAGGCAGAAACATTTTAATAGTATTTAATGAAAGGGCTAAGAGTTCAAAGTATTCTCCCTCACTAACCACAAGGTCTGTGTTCTAAAGAGCGATGAAGAGAAACAGATGTTTGTTTGCCTAGTGGCACTCACTGTGGCTGTGCTGGGTGGGGACGGGGGTCTGCCCTGACCGTCCGCAGGGCGGCATGTGGGGCCCTCGGTCTGCTCCCCTCTGGGCCCTGACAGCCTGGTCAGACACTTATCCAGTCGCTGCATCTGCTCTAGGGACTTGAACTTAACTTGAACCAGCTCTACGATTTTAATGCAAGTCCATGCGAGGCTTAGCTGGAATGGGTTTTAAAAGATGGTTAAACAGTACTTTTTAAAATGTGTAAATGAATTGAGGTTACATAGATTGGAGAGAAAACTAAAGAAGGACCTGAAACATATAGGTAGGGAAATTATGCCGATAGGATGGATAGTCAGCAGATTTTCAATATTTGCACCAAATTCAAAACAATAAATGCTAATATTCAACTGTGAGCAGGGGGAATCATTTAGAAATATTCCAAGCTAATTGTAAGATTTGAAATCTGTTGAAACTCTTTCTTCAACTCCTAAAGATCAGAGAAGCAGTCCTCTAACTGCCCTTAATGGGCAGCCGGCCTATTTCATCCTTTAAATACAGCCTTTTCAGTAATATCAGGAATGATTAAGTAAGCTCTCAGTTCTTCCAGCTTGTTATTAAGAAATCCAGAAACACTTAATATGGCCAATAAAGAAATTTGTTGGTATTTGAAAAGCCATAAAGAGTATTTTGATGCTTTTATAAGTTGCTATAGATTTCACTAGGGTCACTTTCGTTGTTGGACATTTTTGACAGAGAGACCCCTGAGTATGAGATAAGAATTTGGATATTGATTGACTCCTTTTATAGTGTAACTTTAGTTAAGTTGCTTGATTTATTTAATACAAAATATTTATATATATACATATATATGTATATATATATAGCTATATATATTTTCCCCCTTTTGTATATTTTTAAGGCCTGCATTTTGAGTTGTTTCTCTAATAGACAGTACAGATTTTACTGATCTGTCTACGAATCTTCACATGACCGATAGCACACATTTGTAAGATGACCAGAACAAGGGACAACCATGGCCGTGGTCTAAGGCAGTGGCTCTAACCCTGACTGTCCTGCGGAGCTTTTATAAAATTTTGATACTTGGGCCTTACCTCTGACCAAATAAATCAGCATCACAAACCATCTCACCCAAGGGGAAAAAAACCCCCCGCCTATTTCACATGTGAGGAAATGAGCTCAGGGAGGCTCCCCTAACTAAGCAGAGGGCTGTGATCAAAGCCGACACCTTCAGAGCACCCAGCCCAGCTGAGTCACCCCCCCCCGCCCCCCAGGTTCACTGACACTCCCTGTGACAACTGTTCTGCAGCTTAATTGGTGAGATACTCACATTCTGATCTCAAACTTTGTTTTACAGCCATCCTTTTCAAGGCCAGTACTCAGTGTCAGACATGAGGTTAAGAATCTCACAGTGAGTATTTCGAGAAAATACTAGAAAAATTCTTATGTCTCACTTTATGCCATGTGTTTCATTGCTAATTGGGAATTGTTTTTCTCCACTTGATAGACTTGTGCTTCAAATAGTAACCAAATATGTGCATAACAGTCTCTAGCTCAGCAGTGTGTATGCTTCCAAGGGAAAAACACTGCTGTTTCGTGAAGAATGGTGTGAACTAATAACAGAATTTGCCATTTTTATTCTGGCGAAGTAACTTCAGCAAATCGTGACTATAGGGAGAATTAGCCACGTATACGCAACCTTATATCCTTACCACTTTTTGATTCATCTGCATGTTCTGTTAGTATTTTCTGAAAAGTCACATGCTTAAAAGGTTAGCACATTAATAGATGCATAACAAGTAATGAATGATCTAGCTTCTTTTCTCAATAATTCTAATTTGGGGGATGGCTATAGAATAGTGTGTGTGTGTGTGTGTGTGTGTGTGTGTGTGTGTGTGTGTGATTATTATTTTTTTTTTATTATACTTACACTTCTTTCCTTTACTCAGTTCTGTTCAAAACAGTGAACGTGGCAAAAAAATTGGAAACGTCATGGTCACAACCAGCCGGAATGTTGTACAAACAGGAAAAGCTGTTGGTAAGGCATGCCTTTAGCCAAAGCCAGATTGGAATCCTAACGTTAGCAACTCTCTCTGTCTTCAATATGTCATTGATAAAGTTGTAGAGCTCTGTGTATCACATAATAATACAACATAATTCCCGTGGTCAAATACAGAAGTTTGTTTGTTGTTGTTTTTAATTTTTGTCTTATTCATTAAAAAAATTGCCATGACACCATATCAAACAAAGTTCAGCAAATTTTGCCACATCTGATGGAGAGTGACAGCATTTTCCGATGAGTTCACTGTTTTGTTCCCAGGATTCAAGCTTCACTGGAGTTTTCCCCACTCCCTGAGCTTCCCACAGTTCTTTATAAATAGTAGAGAGAGATAATAATGGAGGCATTAGGAACTGCTATCTTGTAAGGCAGTATATCACACAAGACAGAAAATCAGGGAAACCAGTAGTTGATTCTTGGTAAAGATCAACAATATTAATAAAACCTTCATAGGCTAATGAAGAGAAAAAAAGAGAAGATATAAATTACCAGTATTAGGAATGAGAGGGGACATCACTATAGATCTTACCGAAATTAAAAGGACAAGGGAATATTGTGAGTAACCTTATGCCAATTTTTTGACAATTTAGATGAAATGCACAAATTGTTTGAAAGACTCAAATTGTCAAAACTGACTCAGTAAGAAATAGAAAATCTGAATAGCCCTACATCTGTTAAATAAATTGTACTAAAAATTAAAAACCGTTCCACAAGGTTTTTAATTTAATCCAGGCCCAGATGGCTTTACTTACAAATTTTACCAAACATTTAAGGAATTTTATACAAACTTTCAAAAAGTGGTAGATTAGGTAATGCTTCCCGACTCATTCAGGGAGGCCAGTGTTACCCTGAACCCAAAGCCACACAAATGGCGTATTGTATACACTTTCTGCACCTAGCTTTTTTCACTTAAAATTTTTGAAGATTATTTCATATCCATGCTAAAGATATTTCTTGTTCCTTCTTTTCTATATTATTAACTTTTTATTTTGATATAATTTCAAATTGATAGAAATGGTGTAACAGTGTACAAGGAGCTCCTCATTATCTCAGATTCACCAATTATTTACATTTGCCACATTTGCTTTGCCGTGTCAGCATGTAAAAATAGGACCCATCTCCTTACGTAGCTCCTGAGAAAGGTAGACCAACCCAATTGAACACAGTTCAGAAGCCCCGGAGCTGGGTGATCTGTGTGCAGCGGTCCTTGTAGGCCTAACACCTGTACACTTAGAGACAGATAGACAGGGTGAGAGCAACACTCCACAGGCTCGTCTTAGAAGACAAACCCAGAGCACATAGCCCCGTCACCAGGTTTGTTTTATTCCAACGAATGGAATTTGATTATAAGCACTTGCTTCCATACAATATGTAGTTCACTTATTTTTAATTCTTACCTTTTAATAGAGAAATTCTGCTTTATCAGAGGTATATGGTGTCAATTGTTACTTAATGTTTAGTAGTGCTGCTGCCTATATTTAAATTCTAAGATCAGTTCTCCTCTTCCATACTGCCCTCTCCAAAAATAGTGGGAGTATATGATTCATCTTCAGTAATTTCACATTAGCGCAACTTTTGAGATAATGTTCTTTAAATCAAAACAGACCTGGGGCAGGTAGAGCTCTATGTCTTCACTTAATGCAACATCATTTTAATGGATGACAAAACCAAATGTCCCTAACGCAGCCGAACCACTCTTCCCTGTGTAGGTGGTTATCAATTATCAATTCGGATTTAGAACACAGAGAGCACACTGGATTTTTTTCAGCTCCAAGTAATTCTGATGCACAGCCAGTGCTGAGAACCACTGGCCTAGCACGGTGGGTATTAAGGGAAGAGTTTGCTGAGTACCTTCAGAATGCTTAGGAGATAGTAGGCTCTTACACCCAGAAATTGTCCAATTCCCTATTAGACATTCCCATGGAAAGGGGTTGTTTTGAAACTAGAAATTTAAATGGCAATTTAGTAACTGTTAACATATTGATGTGTTACAGTAAATTAACATTTATTAATTAGCATTGGTTTTTCAGTGTCTCTTAACAAAAGTGAATGCATGTTTCCCTTTGTTTTCCCCTCCTTCCCATCTAGGCCATTCGGTTGGAGGGGCTCTTTCCAGCGCAAAGACGGCTATGTCTTCATGGCTTTCTACTTTCACCACTTCCACCCCCCAGAGCCTCACGGAGCCACCCGACGGGAAGCCCTGAGCCCACGTGGTGTCCCAGAGGCTGCTGTTGTTCCCGCAGGTTTAAGTGTTCCCTGTCTGTCTGCTGCCCCCGGACTCTTCCACTGCATCGGCCACAGGTCGTCGAACTGTTTACATGGACGGTTGCCCTCTGTCTAGATGAATGCCACAGGATGCTGAAACGATGAAATCACAACCTTAGCAGGGATGGCTTTCCAGGTTGGGGTTTAAATTGACTACTTTTATTTCAGTCTGAGCCTGATTAAAACACACAGTGTACCATCTAATAATTTTTGAATTCTGATAGCTACATTTGTTTACTTTACAAAAGTTTTTATGTAAATTTTGTTCTGTTTTGCTGTTTGAATATCTAGGTGGTCACTGTAATTTACTTGTGCTGAAATTAAGTTATATTGCTGTTTTAATGTCTCTCAAGTTGGCCCTAAAATGTTCTTATACAGTTAAGGGGCCGCACAATTTAGCCCTTGGTTATTATTTTGCTGAGTTATATGACAATGCTTTGTTTGTTGGTTTTCTACCTACAAAACTGTCGATTCGCTTCTTCCCAGAAAAGGGAAAGTCGTGGGTAGTAGTAGTTCTTTGGATGGAGTGTTTTGTTTCGTGTTTAACGAATTCTTTCCCAATCCTAAACACTTGCTTTGAGGCATCAGGGCGTATCAGTGTATGTCTTCCTCCTCCTCCCAAGTGTTCAAGCAGGTTTGCAGAGAAGTAGCATAGTGATGGGCACAGCCATGTCGGAGCAGTTTAATGTGAATGTGTACTTGGGGCAAGGCTTGAAAAGACCTAGTTGTTCGTTCTGTCAACTTGAGCCATGTTGCAATCTTCTACAAGCATTTTTTAACCCAGAGTTTGTGCCTTCTATGTCTTCTTTTGAATAGTTTTCCATTGGGTGTTTACAGATCTACAGGTTTTTTCTTAGTCTTATTCTTCATAAAACTTTCCAAGGCACTTTGTTTTCCTACTTCCCTGACGGAAAATCCTCCTGTAGCCAATCCCTTCCAAGAGTATTTTTAAAAGAAAAGCAAGATGATCTATAAATATCATCTAGATGATATTTTCATCGTAGAAATCTCATTGTAGGTCACATTTAGAAAAGCAAGAGGCGGGAGACAAAAACTACAGCCGTGACGTCAGTCATGTTTCATAAAGGACATCTGGATTCATTTTAGACCCGTGTGTGTGTGTGTGTGTGTGTGTGCGCGCGCGCGCATGCATGCGCGTGTATATGCGCTATATACTGAAGACTTTTGTACAACTGGACCTCATGTATCTATCATGCTCAGCTGTCATTTGCTTTCATGGGGACATTGGATGGGTGTTCTCAGGGAGGACTTACAGGGGACAGACTGCTTTTTCAGTATAAAAGGATACTTGGAAAATACATAGTGAGTGTACCCTACACACGACATGAAGAGTATTGGGAAAATAAGGGACCTAATTAAGGATGACACTTGATTATATTTGATTTATCGCTTAAGAAATGTTTATGTAAAGTGCATCCTTCTAGGGCATGTAAAATGGTCATGGGGACATAATCTAAATATCCCTAAATCTTCCAATTTGTGTTTTAACACAAGTCCAGCAAATCTAAAAGCCTACTTCCATTTGAGCATAATAACTCAAGAATTCAGTGATGATAAATTAAAGGGCTTATTGTGAGAACTCCATTAACTCCACCTCTGCTAGGAAAGTTAACCTTCTCAGGAAATGTTACTTGAAGAGAAGTAATACCAAACAAACCCTTAAAAGGTACTTTAATCAGTTGCACTGAGACTATAAGGAATTCATTTGAACATCTTGTTTCGTCAGGCCACACCATTGGCTGGAGCGAGAGTGTAATAGATGTCACCTCTCAACTGCCAGAAACGCACAGTGCTAAGAGCACTGCGAGGGGTCAGCCAGCTCGCTGCCGGCTCATCCTTCGGTTTGTATGGTTTGTATGAGTGGGGTAAACTCCCGTCCCTCACTATTCAGTAGCAGCCCAATCCATCCACACTGTGGAATGCCACTAAAATATATTTACGCGAAGTCGAACTTTGCTTTAGACTCTCACTTGTTCCCCGTTTTAGTATACACCTTAATTGAACTTTCTATTAATGTTTCCAGTTAAGAGTTCAACTCTTAAAGTGCTCATTTCACTGGCTTTCAACATAAAATGAATATTTCAGAAGATAGAGCTTTTGTCATTGAAATGGTCAAAAGACCGTAACTGTCTCCTTCAGATGCTGGGAGGTGTGGGAGTTTTCAGGGAGTGGAGGCCGTTATGTCGTTGGCAGGGCCGCACGTGGGGCAGCCAGCACAGCTGAAGGCGGGAAGCCGGGGCTCCAGGATCCTGCTGAGGGGCCAGCCCAGGAGCAGTAGCCTCCCTCCGGTCACTGGCTCTGTGAGCCAGAGTAGCCAACACTGGGCCGTCTTCGGACCAACACTGGTAAAGGTGGGTTTGGGTTGGCCATGGCTGGTCCAGTGCTTCTGGGTCTAAGAAATGAGCATTTGTCAGGAGGCCTGAGGGAGCGAGGGTCAGCTTTTCCAAGGTGTGCCTCACTGTCTGTCCAGGCGACTTAAAAGTAATGTTTGGAAAAAGCCCCTGGCATGCTTTAATTCCCACCAGGCGCTGTAATGACAGTGACACAGATAAGAAAGAGCGTTAAAGCTATTGTGTCCTGGACTGGGTGACTAGAAAAAGTTGCAGGTCAGAGTAAGGCTTAGAGTTACTTTGCATATGCATTTGGTTCATAGAACCGGTCGGTAGGAATGGTGTACCCCCAACTCCATGAGTGATTTCTTAGCCCCCAAGCCTTAAAACAACTCCCATCTACTTTTGCTTTAAGACACATAGCGGCAATACCCTTGGGCAGCAAACCTGAGCATGTGACATGACTTCTTCAGCCTAGTCTTGCTTTCCTGGTCCTTTACTAAGCATTGCATTTTTCTGTAGAATAATTTAGTTTGAAAAGGCAAGGAGAAAGCACATTAGGAAAGGAGAGAAGTGAAACGCTGTTGAAGAGCAAGGTACTTAAAAATTGGAATGAAAGTGTTTTGAGAGCGGTATTTCATATGCTAAAGGTTATAAGACTTCTTTTACAAAGAAGTTAGAATTTTATTCTGCTAGTTACAGGTTTAAAATGAAGCTATCACATTATCTCCCTGGCAGGCAGGTTTTGTTTTCATCTTGTGTTTTGTGGAAGTCACAGACGGACTTTCCTTTTCCCTCCGGGCCTGGTGATGGGTTTGGGAGCGCTCAGCTCGCTAACGGGCTCTCTGGGCTGATCCCAAACCACAAGAACGTTGTCTGCTTCAGCAGTTTGGGAAAGTAGCCTGTCAGGAAGGTCGCTGCTAAACGTTGCCTGTTATTCTGTCGGGACTTGGTTTGGACTCGAGGCAGCATCAACACTTGTCTGCTCTTGCTCTGAGAAGAGGTGGCACGGCGTGCACGGCCTTTCCACCCAGCGCTGGCAGCCTTTCAACATGACCGAGAACACGGCCCTCGCTTCTAGAAGGCGACTGGCTTTCCAGGTTGTGCCACTCGGAGTGTTTTCATTCTACATCTTCGGACTTCATAACATTGGAATTGTTTTTCCATAATCCCTAACATTCCATGAATGTTTGTGAAGGACAAAGAAAAGGAATGTGGATCTTTATTCTTTTCATATAAATAACTTTGTACACATGACTTTCTGCGTTCATATGAAGGAGAAGAACTCACTCCCTTGTATGGTAACTCCAACATTGTACGATTGTGCACGTATAAGGGGTTGAATATATTTTGTAAAACTCTAATGCATTTGTATTTCTGTGCTGTTCTGAAGTTTACCCTTTTTACTTATATTAATTAAAAGATAGAGGCTATATATTTAAATCATGTAAATGGGACATAATTTAGAGGGTTTTTTCAGTCTTGTTTTTCATCAGCTTCTCACATGCACATAGTATGCTGCTCAAATTTGTGTGCAATATAAACATTTGAACATTTCAGTCAAGTACTGAGCCAGAAAGGTAATTGAAGTTTTTGGAAAGCTTCTATGCTTAGAAAATACTTTGTTTTCTTGAAATAATAAAAATTTATAGCTGGAAAAATAGGATCAAGACTTATCTGTTTTCAGGGCACTTGGTCATTGGTTCCTAAATTTAGGAAGCATTTGATTAACAAGTTGGTAAAGGCATTTAGTGGTTACAAAAATAGTTTAAATATTTGAGATTCAAGGTTTTCCACAGACCCTTTCTAAGGAAGTTTAGCTTAGAAATCTTAGAACATTTTCTAAGGAAGTTTAGTTGTGGCACATGTTTTAATCAGAAAGGTAGTTTCTCTTTGCTCTGGTAGTTTTATAATTTGTACTAGTTCTTTGTTTCTGTTGTCATTTGTTCCAAAAAAATGTTAAAATTATAAATCATGTCTAATCATACTGAATTATAAAACTTCTACTGTATCTTTATTTTAAAGAAAAATGAGAATAAAATTTTCCTGTTGGTCCTGCATACAGTTGTACTGACCTGTCTGTCTGGAAGCGCCCCTCAGGTTGCCCGTACGATTCGTGGCCTGCTTCAGTCGGCAGCGGTGCCAGCTTCCTAGGAAAGCAGCATGCAGCATGAACTAGAGCAGGGGTCGGCAAACTTTTGAGACAGAACGTACCCAAAGAGTTGCATGTGGCTTGCGAGCCGCCGTTTGCCAACCCCTGAACTAGAGGACTCACTGCTGATGTAATCTCTCATTTTGACAGTGACATTGCTCATGGTGGCACCTTAGTTTTTAAGGTGGTGGCCCCCGTAGAAAGGACCCCTTAGTTTCTGTGAAGTGCTGAGTGCCAGGTTTGGCATGCGATAATACGTCATCATGTGCTCACTGACAGAAACCCCCCAGGGGAGTAGGACATTGGCCCCAGTAGACCCTTTTCCCACCTGGACTGGTAAGCTTCAGAACAGCCCCTGACATTCCCTGGCCCCAGTACATTTTCATCTCTGTGTCCACGTGCCGTGGTTTTCTTACAGCTGACCTATAAAGAGGAGCTCTGTGACGTGCTTCACAGAAGTGGACAGATGTCCAGTGTTCCCTGGCATGGAGTGTTAACGCCAGGGAGCTGAAGAGGTGACTGGGGGGCAGTAGAACCCAATGCCAGGCAGCTCCCCTTTTCTGAGGGCCTGTTACTGGTCATCCAGTCACAAAGTTCCCACTGTTCTCAGTAACACATCCCAGTGCCACCCCGTTCTAGCTGCCCTTCCCTCATTCCCAGTGTCTCGTGCCTGACCCTTAACTGGTCCCCCTATTTCCGGTCCACCCTACCCACTACACCCAGATTCATCTCCCTACGACATTAGGTATTTATAATCGTCACTTCCCTGCACAGTAACACTCAGTCTACAATTGTCTTCAGGATGAAATCCAGATTCCTAAATCAGGCACTCTGGGTCCACTGCCCAGGACCCCGTACCCCATTAGCTGTACTGGTGCCCTGGCCAGCTGAAACCTGTGCCGGGACTGCTGCCTTCCCACCCTCCAGCTGTGGGAGAAGCCATAACACACACCAAAGACCCAGCGCCAGCCTGTCTTCCTGAAAGAGTCCCCCAGGGCTACACTGAGTCCTTTCTGAAACTCGCATGTATTGCACACTACTTCCCAGTCTTGGAGATTTACAATTAGCAAACCTTTCTTAAGAAAAGGGACGGGCAACTTAAGTGTAAAAAACACACACAGAGAAGAGCAAGAAACACATACATTCAAATAAAGCAACCATTCATGCCACCACAGCGCTGGAAGGAATGGGACATTGCCAGCACCTAAAAAGCCTCGCCCTGGTGTCTTTCCCGGGTCCTAACTCTTCCTTCTCCAGGAGTGTTACTTGATTATCCTGACCTTCGAGATAATAATTTCTTTGTAATTTTACCTCTTTCCTCCTGTGTTTGTATTCCAAACAGCATAGTTGATTTGTTGTCTGTGTTGGAACCTGTGTAAATGGAATCACACCGTTTGTATTACGTCTTTTCTGGGGAATTTTGGGTTTCGGAGGTCACTGTCTTTCATTGCTCTGGATACTACTCCACTGTACTCGCCCCCATCGGTTTCTGGTTTGGGGTGGATGTGAACAGCAGGGCTGCTCTGACCTGGCTGGTGCACGTATCCCAGTGCACGTCAGGGGGATGTGAGCGGCTGACCTTTTTAGCTAATGCCCACTTGTTTTTCACAGCGGGGCTGCTATTGTACCCCCCACCAGCATGGCATCAGAGTGTCATTGTCCCACTTTGTGTCCAATGCTCTGGTAACCCCAGGAATTTAAGTTTTTGCCAATCTGGTATGTGTGTGAAATAGTATCTCACTATGGGTTTTAGCTTGCATTTTCCTGAGTAGTTTTTCGTTTATTCATTGACCATTTAGATCTCCACTTTGGTGAAATGCCTGTTCAAGTCGTTTACCGATTTTTCTACTGTATATACCGGGGGTGCCAAAAAATGTATACACGACTTGTATTCATCTTTTGTTATTGGTATATATTGTTATAATTTTAATAGTTTTTTTCCTTAAGATCTGTATAATTTTGTTTGGCACCCTCTGTATATCCTGGATACTACTTCTTTGTCAATTATGTGTGTTGCAGATATCTCATTCTGTGACATATCTTTATTCTTTATGGTGTCTTGATTAATAGAGTTCTTCATGTAGTCAAATTTATCATATGAAATTATATCTCTTTGTGTCTCATTTAAGAAAACTTTCTCTGCCTCAAGGTCATGAGGATATTTTCTGTAATCTAGACGTTTTTCAGTTTGCCTTTCATATTTAGGAGTTTATCCACCTGGAATTTCTTTTTCAGAATGGTGTGGAATGGGGGTCGAATTTCCCCTCCTCACCCCCAATATGGCTAGAAAGTTTGGGCACTTCAAGTTGTTTTGTCAAGTAAGAACTCCTTACCGTCTCTTATATCACTTCATACAAAGACATTTTAATATCAGAACATGGGAAGAGCATAGAGTGAGGGTAAAGGAGAACCTTTTAAATCAAATAATTAACCGTTTTCGCTGTACCAGTTTAATTTGTCCATGTTCTTCTCATTTTTGTTACAGGTCATGTGCAAAGCATTGCCTCAGCCCCAGTTCTGGGAGATGGATGAAGGAGCCTTATTTTTTTAACTCTGAAGGGCTAACGTTCCCCAAGCCTAACAACCACATAAGTGTCCGGTGTTAGAACTGTCCTGGGCAACCACGAACGCTAAGGACGTTTAACTCTACCCCAGGGACTCACACTGGCCTCCAGCGACCCACGATTTGCACATCTTTGGCTACTTGCTCTGGGAAGTCATTCTTAAGACTAACGCGAGTCACTGACGCTACACTTTAAGCCCTGCCTTCTCCTCGTCAAGTGTCTGTGTGCCTACTATGTACACACATAGTACATGCCACACACACAGTTCCTAGAGCTTGCTGTTCAGCAGGGGGAGACGGACAGTGACCCTAGAAGGTCAAGGGGGCCGGGTCCAGGGTGAGCCAGGGTGTGTTGGAGCACATCGTGGTGGCCAACTGCTTTTGGACAGGGACAAGTAGATGTCTCTTCTCCTGGGAGCCTGAAGTTGAGACCTGAGTCTAAGTGATAGCTTTAGGGGGAAGGTGGAGGTGGAGGAAGAGGTCGTAAGACAAGGTCTCCAGGACCCAGGAGAACAGCACAGGCAAAGACTTGGTAGCAGCTCATTTCTGTAGTGTGGCTGGAACCTAAATAGCACTGACAGATGGGCAAGAGATGGGGCTGGAAAACAAGGCCAGGTCGGGACGGGACAACCCTGTCAGCCTGGCCAGGGAGTGTGGGCTTGATCTCAACGGCAAGAGAAGCCCTTGAAGGGCTTCCCCGCCGGCCAGTGGCAGGTTGGGTGCTGCCTGTTAGAAATGGCTCTGGGTTGGGGTACCACTGCCTTTGCGTTGCCTTAAGCTATAAATGCAGTGATGTTTCTCTGAACTCAACAGCCACCCCTTCCCTTTCCTCAGGGGCCCAAGCTCCAGTTTCCTACCAACTTGAAATCACATTTGCCCCAAACAACAGGCCCGAGAACCAACCTCAGCCCTCGGTGAAAAGCAGTTCCATGAGAACCTGTGTTTCCTTTTCGTTTCCCCAGAGGTTAGATGAGCGGGCTGGTCAATGAAAAGCAACTATAAAGTAATTGTGGGGCATGCAGGGATGGCCTGGAAGACATTGGAACATCGAAATGACTCTTGGGCAAAGTGGAGACCCCAGAGGCACGTGCCATCAGGGCTGTGCTGATGGTAAATTCACTCTTCATAAGGGCCGGCTGAGTGGCTCAGTTGGTTAAGAGCTCGCTCAAGAGTTTGAGCTCTGAGCAACAGCGGTTCGAGTCAGCCCGAGCTGAGTAGCCGTGAGCTGCCAACAGGTGGCGGGATGGCTCAGCTAAAAAAACAAAACAAAACAAAACAAAAAAAACAAAAAAAAATTCACTCTTCATGTAGTTTACCAGCAGGAAGGGGAAGTTTGTATATTCAAAATGCCCATCTGCAGTTAACATCTGGATTTTCATTTATATTTGATCCAACACATGGAATTTTTTTTTTTTCTGATAAACTTGACCGGACGAGCCACGTGCTGGCACTGCGGAGTGACTAGGTCCAAGCAGGGCCGTAGAGAATTGGTCACGTGGCCTTTCCAGATGCCCCTCCTGGCTCTGCCCGAGGAAACGGCCCCTCAGTAGCTCTTCGTAGAAACCACGGAGATGCAAGTGAGACTGTCCCATCCTTGGCCCCTTCAGTAATCCTGAAGCATGAGACACCAAAGCCTCCATGCCCGCAAGAGACCATTCAATCCCCCAAACGCCTTCGAAAATGGAAACTCCCAGGAAAGTCTGAACAGATGAAGGTGAACGAGTGTTGTTTATGGTCATTTTAAAGCACCAGGCCAGCAGGACTGGAATTTTTAAATCTTACATCTTTTACAACCTTTAAAATGTGTTCTAATTAGTAACATCCTTCATCTTGAGGTTTGAAGCGAATGCCATTAAGTCCACTCCTTTGAGCACCTGGGATTAATGAGTCCATAGGAGTTGTCTTTCTAAAGCAACTAGTCACTACTCTGTTGGAAAACATGTTCTTTCCTTTTAAGTTACCAGGTAAAATCCTGTGACTGTTTTCCCTCAAAGAGCGGGCTATGTTTCCATAGTTTCTAATACAATTCCCAGGGAACGTGGAATGGGTTTCTTATATGGACACTTGTCTGTGCAAGCTGCCCCAGTTCATAGAAGCCTGCGTGTCAGAGAGCCAGAGTATATAAGAAAGTGTAGTATAAAGGCGCTAGAGCACTGAAATGCTGTGTCCGACAAAAGAAAGATGTTACCTCACAACCTGACAGCTGAAAACAGCTCTCCTCGGCTGCAGCCCCAGGAGGAGGAGGTAAACATTCCCTCAGCCACAAAACCACTTACTGTGGGCAAGGTGCTCTCTGGGGTCCAGAAGACAAGAAGAGACCTCGTCAAAAATTTGATATAAAGTGATGAGTGTCAAGAGGTCCTGTTAACTGCCATGCAGTCCTTTCAGCTGGAACAATCCGATGAGGCTTCCTAGAGGAGGTGGCATTTGTCCTGCTCCTTCAGTGGTAAGACTTTGAAGAGGTAGAAAAGATAAGAGCAGATTTTCAATCCACCCTAGGGGTGACCCATGGCTGGTGACTCAGGAGAGGACTAGGTCGGAGTGAGCAGAGCTCTAGAAAGCGGTAAAGAGTGATGATAGAAAGCTAAGGAAGAAAGTAATCTCAAGGGATGCTAACGCCAGGAGGAAACTGAGTATAGAAACCACCCAAGATGACTCTTGGTGAGAATACTAGGATTAAGGAAAAGAGAATGATGAGGGAAACCCCCACGGCAGACACAGGAAAGAAAAGCAGCACCTGGAAAGGGTTGTCTGCACACTGCGCACTTGTGTAAGGTGAGGCGGCTGCCTTTCCTGGGTCAGGGGTACAAAATGCCTTCCAGCAAATAAGCTGCCAAGTTTTGAAAAGTGCAGTTACCTTTGTATCAACTTCACAAACCAGAACATTTCGAAAAGAAACATCAATTTCTCTTCTACCACTTTCAGGCTGTGACAGGTTTAAAGGCCAAGCATAGCGTTGATTAAATTAACTGCTTCACTTGTTCTAGGGCAGCAGTTCTCAACCTTTCACAGGGGTCGCCTAAGACCATCGGAAAACACATATTTTCTGTCGTCTTAGGAACCGAGACACCGCTCCTCTATCCGTCTCCAGGCCCACATGCAGATACGCCCACATACGAGGACCCGGCAACCCCTGGGAAAGGGTCGTTCGACCCCCAAAGGGGTCGCAACCCACAGGTTGAGAACCGCTGATCTAGGGGGTTACATAGCTATTGGGTTGTCGGAAAAGTCATGACGCATTTTTGCAACAAAAAACAGAGAAAAGATACGTCATGACTTTTCTGACAGCCCAATATATGCATAGTGAAAATCCAGTTGTACATGTCAAATGTATTTCAAAATTTTTAATCAGAAAGAAACCCAACCATTTCCAAGTGCAATTTATTTCTGGAGTCAGGTGGACATGGTCACTGGAAGGAGTATGGTTTACATTTTTCAGGCACATCTTTCAAGAAAGCAGCAAACCCCAAAAGGCTGGTTTCCCCGACAGGTGAAAGTTATAAAAAGGCACCTGCATTTTCATTTCGCTAGAATGAGTTAGTTCATTTCACTTTGGCAACAGCAGCCCACATGGCCCTTTGCATCTGCTCAGGGCTTATAATTTACAAGTCAGACCCCCTAAGTTGGAGGTAGGCAGGCCTGGTGTGAAATCCAGCACCCACACTGGTTTGTTACCTAACCCCTCTGAAAGATGGGTTTTCCTTGGGTGCAGGTTTAAATGCTAAAATGTCATAAATCCAGTGGTTTGTGTTCATGTGTGTTCACCGTCCATCTTCCCCTGCAGAAGGTGAGGAGGGTTTTTTGTCTGACTTGCTGCTGTAGCGTTAGGGACTAGAACAGTACCTGGCCTCAGTAAATGCTGAATCAACAGACAGTTCTGATTTCTAACTGGGGGTGGGGGGAGGGAGATTTGTAGAACCGGAAGATGAAGGGTCACCATCCACAGGCAGAACAAAGGAGATGGGGTGAGTTCCTGAGGTTCCAGGAGCGGGGTCAGGAATGAATGACAAAATTGGATATAGAAAGGAAGTGTGAGCTTACGCCTACTCAGACTGGCGTTCTATGACACATGTGGAACTCAGAATACACATTTGCTGCTACTGTTATTTGTAATTCTTTGTATTAACAACTGAAGAGATTCGAATTAATGTTATTTAATGTGTAGGCTACAAATATATCGATAAAATGAACAGTCCACCACCCGACTTAGGATGGTGTTTCTCACCCGTCTGAGTAGGACAGAGATGGGAAGAAGAGAGAAGACGTGCAGAGGGAGTTCACTGGACCCCTCCGTTGGGCTCCGTCCACTCACTGCCTCAGTTTCCCTCAATTTTACTAGATTTCTGTGTGCAGAGAACCCCAAGAGGTGGAGGCAGGCCTAAATTGCTGTGTGATCTTGGGCAAGTTAAATAAAAGCCCTCTCTGAACCTATGAATAAAATTAATGAGGTGGATTTGAGGTTTTCAAACGCTCTCAGGTGGGAAACTGGTCAAACAAAATCCTGCCCCGAGGAACAGGACCGCGCTGACAAGAAGTGAGTGACTCCCAGTTGCACTTGACCACTGGTTCCTTCCTTGCTTAGGTCTCCCTGTGTCTCCTGTACTGTATCGTCCCACACTGCAGTTGTATTTTGTATTTGAATGTTAAGCTAACACTGGTTTCATTGCTTTAAAAGCAATGCGCTTTTAAGCAGCAGTCAGTAAAGCAGGAGTGAACATTTTTATGGCTCTTACCTTCATCAGGAGCGCAACAAACTTGTTCTAAATGGACTTCATCTCACCCTGAGCCACGCCAGCATTCTACTGCTAAGAGCTAATATCAAGGAAACAATCCAAAAGGAAGAAAAGCTATGTGCATAGTTCTTTGTCTTGGCCTTTTTCATTATGAGTCACGAAAAACTGGCACCAACCAACAGAGAACTGAGTTTTGATACTCAAGTGTAATACTAAGCGTGATGCTCATTGTCATGTTAGACAGCTATTGAAACAATCACTGTGAAAACGGGGGTGATGCGAAGAGGAAAACAGAATACAAAGCTATACAAACGGAGGTGGTCCGAGGAGGGGAGGGGCCCAGCGTGCTTCCTGGGCCTTTTCTGTTTCTCCCACGTTGCTATGAGAGAACATGGGCAAATGAGGTGACTTGAGGTCAATGACACTATGGTGATTTTCTTCTGCTTCTATTACTGTACTGGGGAGGGGACAGAATCCAAGCACAAGGAGAGGTGGAGAGGGCCCTGTATGTGAGTGCAAGCCTCTTGGCCTTCAGCTAGCCAGTGCTTTTCTCCGCATAGGCCCCGGCTGTATCTCCATGACCATCCTCAGTGTTCTGGGCGTACCTGGTTTCGTAATGAGCTGAAGGCAGGGACCTTCGTCACACTAGGTTACTTGACGAATATTGTGACACGAAAACCTCCCTTTCCAACGCAAGGCTCTGTGCCTCTGGCTTTCCAAGAAGCACGGTGGAACTGACGTCCTGAAAACAGTAAAAGAAAGCAGTGCTTTCAAGTGTTTGTTTTACAAAGTACAGGGTGAAACTGTAAAAGGATATTTAGTACCACAAAAAGTAGGCCAAGGGTAAGAAAAACTCTCCATACCCTAGAGAATTCAGCTGACCAAATTAAGTCTGATCCAGAATAAACAGTTCTCATCTGGAAATCTAGCAGTTCCAGAAAGTACTGTCCAAGGGTGAAAAGAAGGCCCCCAGAGCTGAGCTGCATAATTATGTAACCCTTTAGGAAAGCGGGAAGAAGCGCATGGCGCTGGGGGGCATGGGTGGAAACCAAGGTGAGAAAGCAAGTTCTCAGGCCTCAAAGAGGACTTTGTTACTGAGGAGAAACTAGGCTCCCGGGCCCTTTCCCATGAACTTCACCAATGTCAGTCAGTTTTCCCTGTGCTCACCCAGCATCCAAGGCCTAAAACAAGGTTTCTATTCTCAAACCCCTCCAAGAGAAATAACTGTCAGAGTCATGTGAGCAACACTGCACGTGAAGGAATTCAGTTGAAATGAAACTGAAGTTGAGCTAGTATCACGAACAAGTCAAGACCGTTCATAAAATTATAAAATTATTTGTCACAGTTATAAAATTATAAGGCAAAGGATACTGCCAAGGGTGGTGGAAGTGGTAAGGTAATAGATCTAAGATGGATGGAAAGGTCAGTGAAGAAAAAGGTGACATGAAACTTCTGATGAAAATGAAGAATGTGGTATATTGAGTTCAACTATTTTGAACTCTCCAAGGCTGCTTTCAGTCAACATTTCTTATCACCAACTATGTTACACTGTAGGAGACACAGCCCTCTAGAACGAAGTCCCTACTCTCAAAAACATCAATCACTTTGACGTAGCCCTCTAAAACAAGTCCCTACTCTCAAAAACATCAATCACGTTGTAGAAAAGCATTAAGATCCATAAGAATACTCAACAGAATGAATTGGTCCAATTAACAGATGATGGTGCCAGGGTAGGAAGGATGTGAGAAGGGACTCTTCAGCACAGTAAGCGGTGGTTATCAGGAACACATTCATTTAACAACCACCTTAAACAGATCTTGGATAACACAAGACAGCTACAGGCAGCGTTGGGATGAAAAGACCATTCTGAGTAGAGCAGACGGCATAAGCAAAGGTGGAAAGTATAGCAAAAGCCTGATTAATATTAAGATTTGTGGGAAAACAAATGTTTAAGGCTATAGAGGTAATCTAAAGCCAGATTACGAGCGTCTTAAATAAACTCAAGAATTTGGACTTCATTCCAGGCAGCGGGAGGCAGCTGAAGTCTGTACACATGATGAATGATGTGTTCTAGGAAGAATGGTGACCTAGAATCAAGTCCTTATGATACAGGCACACCTCATTTTATTGTGCTTCCTCCCTTTTCTGCACTTCACAGATGTCGTATTTTTTACAAACTGAAGGTGAGACCCTCCACCAGCAGATTCGCTTTATTGCGGGGGTCTGGGACCAGACCCGCGACGTCTCCAAGGTTGGCCTGTACAGAAGGCCTAAATGGTTCTCAGTGGGCTGCACAAGCCAATCACCTGCAGCGTTCTGACAGACTCCGTTGCTGGGTCTGCCCACCAGATTGTGGGTCATCTCGTGTGGGACAGTGCATGCATCATCCCCTGAGCTTTTAAAAGTAGCCCAGATGATTCTAATATGCAACTAGGGTTGAAAGGCACTATTTCTGATCTATAGTTTATGTTGATACAGTAATGGTCGCATCACAAAAAAAGCCCCCCGCCACACGAGACGTGTCTCTCTCTCAAACAAAATTCTATGTAAAAATCTAAACTGACCCAGTAAATTTAAAACAAAA